ATCCATTCGTAAAATAAATAAATAAAAAAAAAACAAATAGGATACTTTAAATAAAAAAGGAAAAAAATAATGTTGAGATACATGAAATTATTTTAACCACCAAAAATAGAATTAGCTAGGCAAACCAAATCCCAATTCCTTACACGAGATTAATTAATTGCCACCTTCTTCCCACTAATATTTGCAACAAAAGTAAATAAAATAAAAAAAAGGAGGCCGGCGGCAAAGGAGTTGGTTGGCATGTATCTATAAATTCCAGCCCTCACTCTCATTCTCCCCTCCACCGCTCACTCGACACACTCCCATTTCCCTACTTGAAAAACCATGGCCAACACTCCCGACAATAACGCACAAAGCCGTTCCCCTTCCCCTTCACAACAAACCCCTGTCCCGAGGCCAAGGTCTCTTCCCCGCCAGTGGCCCCCTCCCCTTATGGGCATCCCGGGGCTCTCCGCCTTCACCCCCTACCAGCGCCCTCAGACACCCCCACCCCCTTCCCCTTCCCCTCCTCAGCCACTGCCACCACCACCTTCCCCCTCCCCGCCTCGTGCTCCGACACCCCCACCGCCATCTCCCACCGAACCACACTCCGGAGGGGTCCACACGGCCATAGCCATTGTCAGTGGGGGCGGCGTGTCTTCTGGAGGGGCGAGGATCAGGGGCGGAAGCCTTGCCTCCCGTAAGAGGGTCCGAGATGACGGGATTCCGAACCCAAACCCCTTGAACAACAACTGCTCAATGTGCGGAAAGGTGTTCACGTCCCCCAAGGCCCTCTTCGGCCACATGAGGTCCCACCCGGAGAGGGGCTGGAAAGGGGCCCACCCACCACCAACCTTCCGTGCCCAGGACGAGTTTTCCGATCTCCGCCCACACTACCGCCCTCCTCCTACTCCTCCTGAGGCTGAGCAAGCCCGCAAGGAGGCCGAGGACAGTGGTGGGGGGCAGGGCTACCGGGTGCCCGACCTCAATCACGAGTTTAAGGAGGAGGAGGAGGAGAAGGAGGAGGAGGAGGCTCCTTGAGAGAGGATACGGAATTAAATTATTAAACACACATATCGTCTTTCACAAACTCTATATATCCCTCTTTTTTATCTTTCATTTTTTTTTTCTTTTTTTTTTTTTTTNTTTTTTTCCCTGGGTCTGGTTAATGTGTTTTCTTTGTGTTGTTTGTTTCTTATTTGGACATCGCGCTGAATCTGCACTAATTTCATTCATTCATGCATGCATATATACACGCCTGCGTGCGTGCGTGCCTGAATATTATGGTTCGGAGCTGCGCTATCCTTTCACTTTGTAGGAATGTTTTACGGACTGATTAATTAAACTCTGCTATATGTTATTGTGTGGATTTATTTTATGTGATATATAATATGATCATATTTTTGTTTATTATTATTTGTTTTGTGGTGGCGATTTGATTCGAACCAGGTGATCGAGTCGAATTAGAATTCGGTAATATTTATAAAATGATTTCCTTTTCACGTTAGTTATTACGAATTTCTAGATACTAGGAATGGGTGAGCAACTTAAATAATTAGTTTAAACCTGTGACTTTTCGCCTTGCCCGAACCCAAAAATATATGAACAAAGTAATATGTGATATTATAAAAACTTTGTAATTTTAGTTCACAAATTTTATTTGGTTATGTCAAGTGTGTAATATTTGTACTTCTAGTCTATTCAGTTTTCGACTTCCGGATTTT